CTTAGAGTAGGTAGATTTCTCCTGGGTACTTGCTCTTTCAAAAAAACAAAAACAACTTTTCGCACCTACACTTTCAAAAAGTTTCCAAACAAATACTTCATACACTCTTGAGGACTGATACAAGAGTTACCTAGAAGTTTTTGAAACTAAACTTTTTCAAAACCCACATACACAAGAAAAGCAAACAATTTTTGAAAACATAGTGAGCAAGTACCTAAGAGCCCGTGGATAACCACAGATAGAAAGGATGCTAACACCTTCCCTTTCTATAAATCTACCTCCCGAACCGAGAAACATTCTCGGAAAGGAATTTTGCTGTGCTTTTGTCCTTTCCTTGTTGGAGAACATAAAAGACGGTGGCGACTCTTGCTTACCGCGACATTTCACGAACCAGCTTAAAAAACAGTCAGTTCTATTCCCACCGATCACAGACAACCATAAATTGCATTCACAACATTTCCACCTCTATGTTTGGGCAGAGGATTGGCTTGCACATTTTGTCCCATATCCTTAAAAGACAAGATGCCAGATCTAACTAATTTCTGGACTTCAGCTTTTAATGGATAACAATTTTCAATAGTGTGCCCAGAGGCTCCTTGATGAAAAGCACAAGTCAGATCAGCTTTATAATATCGTGGAAACATTGCGGGTATGGCCAGAGGAGTCCTAGTCTGCACCAGGTTCTTCTAAATTAAGGCCGAAAACAATTATGTATAACTCATCAGAATAGGATCAAAATTTTCTCTCTTCTAACCTTGCCCGTGATTACCTTATTGATGTGCTCTCTGATAAGCAACAACGACTGGAGTCACGCTAACAATTGAGGTCACCGAGGCAACATGTTGTTGATGTTTATGATGTCTTCTTGGATGTCTACTTCTTATCTCTTAAATAATAACATTGGTATCTCCTTCTTTCTTTCTGGAAAAACCATATGCTAGCTTTTTAGCACCACTGTAACCTTCATCTCTTGACAATTGTCCTTCTCCAACGGCTTCTTCCAAACGAACACCCATATTCACCATCTTAGTGAAATCACTCGGTGCACTTGCCACCATTATTTCATAGTAAAATGAACCAAGGGTTTTCAGGAAAACCTTAGTCATTTCTTGCTCTCCCATCGGGGGCACCACTTGGGCAGCAACCTCGCGCTAGCGCTGCGCATACTCCTTAAATGATTCCTTATCTTTTTAAGCTATTGCTCTTAACTGGTCACGGTCAGGCGCCATAAACATGTTGTACTTATACTGCTTCACAAAATCTTCATCCAAGTCATTGAATGTATAGATGTTGCTACTGTCCAATCCCATGTACCATTTCAAGGTAGCACCAGCCAGACTATCTTGGAAAAAGTGGATAAGCAGGTGTTGGTCATCAGTATGAGTGGACATCCTCCTTATATACATTACCAAATGATCACGAGGATAAGAGTTGACCTTTTACTTCTGAAATTATGACACCTTAAAATTTGTAGGCACTTTCACATTAGGAACCAAGTAGAGATCATTGTCATTCTGTCCAAATAATTCCTTCCCTCTAAGGGCCTTCATCTCTTTTTTTCATTTCGTTAAACTGATCCTGAAAATAATCCATTATGTCTTAGAAGCCCAAGCTTTCACTTGGTGGAGGGGCAACATGGTAGGTCTCGTTATTAACAATGGAGACAGTGTGCACCACAGGAGGTGAAGAAACAACATCAAGTTGAACAAACTGAGCAACTTGCACAATAAGGTTGTATCCTTATGGCATGTAACCTTCAGGCATCCCCCACGGGTACTGACAAAATTTCAAAAATGACGGTTGTCTGTTGTGGTTGAGTCATACAAGGAGAAGGAGGCGGTGGCTGATTCTGATCAGCCACCAGCGACTCTACCAAAGCAGTCGGATTATCCATTCCAGTCCTTAGAGAAGTCACTTCCTCGCGCAGCTCGCGATTCTCTTGTTCGAAGTTCTCCATCTTCTTCTTAGTGTTAACTCGAGTGTTGTATTGATGAGACATCTTGCTGACTGAAGATCAAAGGACTTGAGTAAGACTCCTTAGAAACTTTATGAAATGCAAAAATTAAATGCAAAATGATGCATGACATGCAATACAAAGGACATGTTCCCATGTTTCCAAGAACATATATGTTTTGATTCCTACTGTTAAACCATGGTGTCTTTCTTGACAATGTTCATTTTTCAGTGGTTTAACAATTGGAATCAAAGAAACGACACTTAGAAACGGAGGAACATGTATGCTAAAATGACATTACATGTTATGTATGCATGCATGTGTGATCAAGGCTTCAACAACACTTGATATATGTTGACTTATTAAATAACCGAATGTCATAGGATCAAAGGTTTGAAACATACACCAAAAGAACCAAATAGTCACCAACAATACCTGTAAGATCATTCCTTCGCCACTCATGGGTGAAGTCTAGGTCAGGGTAAGGTCGAAAGGCAAATCAGTGTCGTGAGTCCTTGTGAAATTACTACTATTGTAACACATCAGTGCATAACGATAGTACTCTCATGATCGGAATAGTAAGACATACGCCTCGTATCCATCATGATTATCCACTCTAATCCTATGTGTTCATAGATGAACTTTTGGCCTGGGTATTGGGCCTTTTACCTCATAGTAACAACCCCGAACCGGAAAAACTAGAAAATCCAGTACAATATATATATACAGAATAAGGAAAGCAATAAAATACAACAAGTAGAGCAAATAGATGAACATCCAAAGAAAAAGAACAAATAAAGCTAGGATTGGCCCACTTAGAAAAGAGTCCCCAGTGAAGTCGCCAATTTTTTCTGTAGCGGTAAAATTTTGAGACTAAGTCATTGATTGACTTATCTCGTACAATCAAGTCACCACCTCACTTTATTGTTTCCAAAGAGGAAATAGGAAAAGAACAAATAAAACCTAAATAGAATAGAGATCTAGATACAAGAGCCAGTTATGCAAAGGGAATATATTAGCATCCTAAACATCCATTGTACTCAATGAGATCCACTATGTTTGTTCTAATAAAAAGGGTATGTTATCTAAAGCTTAAACTTGCTAAAGGGAAAGCATGAATGCAAAATATATACAATTTTTTTTTTATTAATGCGTCCGCCGCGGTTGCGAACCTTTGTGTCTACGTACCACCATTCGTGCAATAGGGGATCAGGGCACTCGTAGTTCACCTAAAAAGGTGTTTTGGTTTTAAAGATGCAAAAAGAAAGAAAAATATTAAAGGTAATCTAGAAAGAAACCTAAAGTTGTCATGCAATGGTGGCCCTAAAGTTAGGATAAAAGGGAAACATCTACCTAAATTAGAATGCAAAAGATGGACCTATGATTAAGATTTTGCAAATTAAAGAAGATGGGCAAGAGATGAAGAGACTATCCTAAAGCATAAAGTAAAAGCTAAGGAGGGAACGGTCTAACCAACAAGAAGCCAACACTTGACATAAAGAAGTCAATGTAGAATTCTCATCTTTTGAATTAAAGCCATAAGTATCACATAGACCAAGAACATACCAATCATCATGTGAAAATAAATCACAGGTAAGGAAGTATCAAAGAAACCCAAGGTTTAAAAACCAAAGCAAGGTCTTCAATATTGAGTCATGTGCCATATAGATCACCTAAGGCCAACAAAATAACACCTGCACACAGAAGATTTCCCAATACACAAGCAAAATAACAATAAAGCAACAAGAGGTCTAAAGATCTCAAGGTATCGAAGTATCAAGGCTTCTAATCCTAAGTCCAAGAAGATCCACCACTCTAATAAGCCAAAGGTAGTAACCAATAGTCCACAAAGAGTTTTAAGTCTTTTATTAATGAATTAAACACAAAATAAAGGTCCAAGTGGACAAAGAAAAAAATGCATAAACATAAACATATGTCTCAGTGGACAAAGAGAAAAATGTGGAATCATAAACAAGTGCATGAAATGTAAATACTAAAAGTAAATCACATAAAGTAAAAGCGGTAAATAAAATGCAGAAATTAAAGTTGCATAAAGTAAAGGTTAATGTTAGGGTTAATTTTTGATTAGGGACTTCGTTACAAGTAAACACTTGGGTGTGTAGGATAGGGATAAATGGATGTCGATTCTTGATATGGGTTACCCTATTGCTTATAAATACAAAGTCGTATTTGTTTCAATTTCCATGAGACTTAGCATAACATTTTCCCCACTTCTCATAACTCCACCCCCATACACGAGTCGACATACAATCATTATTGTTGGTTTTGTCAACGAAAATAATTGGGTTCAGCTAAAGTTGAAACCCTATTGTCCACTACCTCCCGTCACTGCTCGTTGGAGGGAGAATTATTCTAATGATGCAAAAGTATGAGAATCAGCATATGCAGGTCGTTTCAGGCATTGGGAAGAAATGTCTAGGAAGTGACTGTAGTTTTTGTAATGCATATATGTATGATATTTATTCTATTTATATATTAAGTCAGTTCGCTATTTCACTGTGTAATTTATTCAAGTAAAAGTTAAAAAAAGTTTCAGTACTATCGAAAATTTTAAATTTTTGATTTTTTCCACACATCGAAAATTTCAAATTTCTAGTTTCTTATAAGGATGAAATACACCTAAATTTTAAAATATTCGATATCGAAAATTTCAAATTTTTAATTAAATTCATATGGCACAATTAAAAAAAAAAAGAAAATTCAATGAAAATTCTGATAGTGCACCTAAAATTTTAAAAAATTCAATATATTTAATAAACATTTACATAAATGTGTCAAGACTAGGAGTGCCATGTATAACATGTATAATATGTGGGTGACATATGTTAATTCCTCTCTCTAGATGGTGGATTTAGATAAGCCCAATGTGAGGGATAGAGGGGGTAAGAGAGACAAAAGAGGAAGTGTATTTTTTCCCAGTTTTCATTTCCACTCTTCACTTTCTTCTATTCCGCAACATCTAATTTCAAATCAACAACGTTGTAATGCGAAACAGTGAAAATCCAAACTCTTCTTGTTCCTTTCTATGCTGTTCCCCTCATCAAAACCCTTCACATCTTCACTCAAACGTGGATTCACTCCCACTTCAAATTCAATCAACACCTTCTTCCATTTCCTCTTCAACCTCCGCAAATTCAACCTAATCATCAACCTTTTCCATCAATTCAGCTACAACAAATTCCCAATCACCCACAAAACCCACACTTTCTTCACATGGGCACTTCTCAATACTCACAACATAGAACAAGCAGAACGATTCATGAAGAGAAATCCTCACACCCCATCTCGCGCGTGGGACGCGCTTATCCGTGGTCTATGCTCCACGCGCCAAGAAGAACCAGAAAGGGTTCTCTCAGTTCTGAAACATTGTTTGGTAAGTCGTGGTGTTTTTGTATCTTCCTCCGTTTTTTGTTGCGCAATTCAAAAACTTTGCTATGTGGGTCATGTGGGTAAGGCTATTGAGGTTCTTGAGTTGATGGCTGAGCATAGAAAGGAATACCCTTTTGATGATTTTGTTTGTAGTTCGGTGATTTCGGCTTTTTGTAGGATTGGAAAACCAGAACTTTCGCTGTGGTTTTTCCATAATGTCGTGGGATCGAGATCGAAAAGCTCGTGGCGGCCCAATTTGGTTACTTGTACAGCTATTGTGAATGCTCTTTGTAAGATGGGGAGAGTTGATGAAGTTTGTGATTTGGTTAGGAAAATGGAGGGAGATGGGTTGGGTTTGGATGTTGTTTTGTATAGTGTTTGGGTTTGTGGGTATGTTGAAGAAAAGGTTTTGGTTGAGATTTTTAGGAAGATGAGAGAAATGGTGGAAAAGGGTATAGATCATGATTTTGTTAGTTATACTATACTCATTGATGGGTTTTCTAAGTTAGGTGATGTTGAAAAGTCTTTTACCTTCTTGGCTAAGATGATTAAAGAAGGGATTAGACCTAATAAGGTTACTTATACGACAATAATGTCGGCATATTGTAAGAAGGGTAAAGTAGAGGCAGCATTTGGTGTTTTCAATTGGATGAAAGATATGGGAATTGAGTTGGATGAATTTGTGTTTGTAGTTTTGATTGATGGATTTGGAAGAGTAGGAGATTTCGATCGAGTGTTTCAACTTTTTGATGAGATGGAGAAGAGAGGGATTAGTCCTAGTGTCGTTACGTATAATGCTGTTGTGAATGGTTTGTCAAAGTTTGGGAGGACACAAGAGGCGGATGAGTTCTCGAAAAACGTGACTGCGGATGTGATTACGTACAGCACGTTGTTGCACGGGTATACCGAAGAAGAGAACGTTTTGGGGATTTTGCAAACAAAGAAGCTGTTGGAAGAAGCTGGTATCTCTATGGATGTTGTAATGTGTAATGTATTGATTAGAGCACTCTTTATGATGGGGGCTTTTGAAGATGTTTATGCACTTTACAAAGGAATGCCAGAAATGGATTTGGTTCGGAATTCTGTTACTTATTGCACAATGATTGACGGGTATTGCAAGGTTAGTAGAATTGATGAGGCGCTTGAGATATTTGATGACTTCAGAAACACATCGATATCTTCAAATGAATGCTACAATAGTATCATCAGTGGCCTTTGCAAGCAGGGTATGGTAGAAATGGCCATTGAAGCATTGCTTGAACTCAATCACAAATCTTCCGTGTTGGATACAGGTACATATAGGTTGTTAATGAAGACAATTTTCAAAGAAAACGATTCAAAAGTGGTTTTAGATTTAGTTTGCAGAATGGAAGGTTTAGGGCCAGATGTATATGGTGCAGTATGTAATGATTCCATATATTTATTATGTAAAAGAGGATTGCTCAGTGATGCGAATCAATTGTGCATTGCGATGAAAAAGAAAGGGTTACCTGTCACATGCAAATCTTATTATTCACTTGTGAGAAGGCTTCTTTGTGGTGTTGGGAATAGAGAGCAAATTCTGCCTCTTTTGAATAGCTTTCTGAAAGAGTACGGTTTAGTCGAACCAAAGGTTCAAAAGTTAATCGCACGATACCTTTGTCTGAAAGATGTCGATAGTGCCCTTCAATTTCTTAGAAAAACAGTGGAAAATTCTTCAGCAGTCATCTTTCCTGTCTCCATTCTCAAGATTCTCATAAAGGACGGTAAAGCTTTAGATGCATATAAGCTTCTCGTTGGGGTTCAAGATAATTTACCAGTCATGTATGTTGATTATGCCATCGTGATCCATGGCTTATGCAAGGGAGGATATCTCAATAAAGCGTTGGATTTTTGTGCTTTTATTGAAAAGAAAGGGATGAATTTGAACATAGTCATATATAATTCAATAATAAACGGATTGTGCCGTGAGGGTTGTCTTACTGAAGCGTTTCGGCTATTTGATTCTTTAGAGAAACTTAATTTGATGACCTCGGAAATAACTTATGCTACATTAATTTATGCTCTATGTAGAGAGGGATATTTGCAAGACGCAGAGCATGTTTTCACGAAAATGGTCAGTAACGGGTTTCAACCAAAAACACAAGTTTACAATTCATTGCTTGATGCTATATCTAAGTTTGGACAATTAGAAAAGGCATTTGAGCTTCTTAACGAAATGGAGAAAAAATATGTCGAGTTTGACAATTTCACAGTTAGCGCTGTAATAAATTGCTATTGCCAAAAGGGCGACATGGAAGGAGGTCTTGAATTCTATTATAAGTTCAAGGGAAAAGATATATTACCCGATTTTTTAGGGTTCTTGTATTTGATAAGAGGTTTATGTACCAAGGGAAGGATGGAAGAAGCAAGGAGTGTCTTGAGAGAAATGCTCCAATTCAAGAATGTTACCGAGATGATTAATATTGTCAACAGTGAGGTTGATACTGAGTCAATATGCGATTTTCTCGCCACTTTGTGTGAGCAAGGAAGCATTCAAGAAGCTGTAGCAGTTCTCAATGAAATTGCATGCATGTTTTTTCCCGTTCAAAAATCATCTACTTATAATCAAGGATCCGATAAATCACAGAAGAATTATGAATCAAAATATTTTGGTTTTAAATCTTCGACCTCTCTACCTTCATCTTGCAAAAGTGGTTTTGATTTTGATTTCTATTATTCTCGAATAGCTGCACTTTGCACCAAAGGGGAGCTGCAGGATGCTAATCAATTAGCAAAGGAAATGCTTTCTGACATGGCAGAGCCTATGAATTGAAATCTCTCTCTTTCTCTCACTCTTGTAGTGCCAGCAAAGAGAGCACACACGCAGGTGAAATCTGCAGGTATATATATTTTTTCTCATAATTATGTTTATAAAGAGTGTGTTGTGTGCATATGTGTTTGTGTAATGAAACTGGTAATTTTGAAGCATAATTTCTCACCTAAAACTGGGAACAGTATCGTAATTCAGTGTTAGCGCATTTTAAGTTATATTTTTGTACAATAGCATTAACTATTATTTGCATTTGTTTCAGTTTCGAAGCATTAATATTTCGAGGAGGATTGCAATACCGGTGAATGGAGATATCCCAGGTTGAATAAACATTCACAATTACTGTGGTTTTGGGCATCTTCCAAAAAGTTTCAACAATCTCAAAGTTTATGTTTCTTCCATTGCTGTAGGGAGGGTTCTATTGTGCTCTTTTTTATATAGTTTCCTCTTTCCGCGGTTGGTGGTCTGCTCTTATCTCATCCCGGACTTCATCTTGAGACGGTGATTGATGTCTAAAATAGAGGCAGCAACATTTAGGAGTAATTGAGGAAACGGACAAGGAAAGCTTCATGTTGGTTTGCTTGTGGCAGAGAAGAGGTGTGAAAGAGCCAGTTGCCTATAGAACTGCAAGCACATCCAAGGTACGGCGGTTTTTGTTCTAACATCATTGGGGTGTGTTGGAAGTTATATATTGCTGTTTTTTGATATTTGTTTGTCTTGGCGTGATTAACACCATTTTATGTCGTTATTGGTAATAATTTGAAAAAAATGTATAAACTGAACGTAATCACAAGTGTTGTACCGACACCGACACAAGCACCTTTTTTTAGAGGTCTCGGTGCTACATAGTGGCCAACCTATTTAACAACTTATTCTTTGTACCAAATGCAAGAGGTTTAACTTTAACAAGCTAAATTAACATATTACTAGTTTACTATAACTATAAGTAGCTTGTAACATTTCTATGCTTAATAGGACTTATTAGGTTTTATCAAGAAAATCATTTGATTGTTGAATCGTTGAAGGAAGCTGAAAATTAGAAATCAACTTGACAGAATTTTAATCTGATAAACAAACTGTAGCATTTAATGGAAGATGAACATGGATTTTGATGTTTTTCTTACTGTCATTACCCTATACACTTCATCTTGATAGTTTTATTACTGCTTTCAGCATGTATATAACTAGAAAAAAGAATTTACTTTGTTCATAATGATTTTTCGAACCTTCAGGGGTCCCATTTTCAGAGTCAAGTATGAAGATAAATTCCACCTCTGAGGTCACTTTATCTTATAAGAAAACATCTTCATCTGAGTTTGGTTTCAGAAGCACCCAGTCGTGAAGCATGTTCATCCAGTGTTACCTCATCACACTTGTATAACACACTATATAGTATTCTCATAATAGGTCAGTCAATTCAGTATAAGTATTTGATTTGATAAGTTTAAGTACAAATACTTTAAGATAACGTACTTGTTTTTAATGAGGTTCTCAAATAAGTCTCACTTAATGTAGTATCAAACACACTAATTATTCAAAGTACTTTATTATGTCATATACAATAAATACAATATTTACTATGTCCTTGTGTAAATTTTTACTTTACATGATTTTTATTAGATTTAAATAGTTAAATCGTTCATGTAAATTAGTAAGTTTTTTGGTTCTTAAAATAATCTTTAAATTTAAAAGTTTTTTTAATATTCGTTCTTAAAGTTAAAATCTACATATTTTAATTTTAGAAATGAATATCAAAAGAATTTTAACATGATTATTTTAAGAAAAAAAGATATAAGCACGAAAACCAAAATTTGCTAACTTTTTGGATAATTTTACTATTTAAATTTATTTATTTATTCATCATTGAGAAATTAATATGTCACCCCCTCAAATTAAATATGACATCTATCAACTTTAATTATTTCAGAATTATTTTTGTTGAGTTATAAATAATTTATGGATGAAATTTCCGGTACTGACAAAATTTCCTTTCACCCCTACAAAATTTCGATTTATGTAAATTTTCTATAGTGTATTTGAAATTTTCGGTATTCCGAAAATTTCAAATTTATTAGGCAGTACCGAAAATTTTAGTCATACAAAATTTCGATTTATGTAAATTTTCTATAGTGTATTTGAAATTTTCGGTATTCCGAAAATTTCAAATTTATTAGGCAGTACCGAAAATTTTAGTCATACTGAAATTTATGCTAGTGCAATTATTCAATTTTTTTAAAGGTTGAGATTTTGCCGTTATCTTTGAAGGGTCCTGATTGCACCGATAAATTTGTGTGATATACAAAGAAAAACATTTTAAACAATGTCTCTTCCTCAATTTCTGATAAAGGCAGAAATATATTACAACGTAAAGAACCATGCTGTTGAATTCAAGTTTTCATATGACAGCACATCCCTTGCGACCTTGAAAGAAATATTGAATGCATTACTGTCTGATACCTATAACAGAAGGGTGACAAAAATCGAGTTTCAGGAAGATTTAATTGATACAAATGGAAGAGTGAAATACAACCTGATTGAGTTGAAAGGAAGATGAAAGGATTATGTTTTTCGGTGCCACCTCTCAACAAAATCAGACAATAGAGAGGTGTCCAGCATGGTCAAGGAGCACTGAGCAAACTCTATTAGCTCAAAATCTGTAACAATACTACTGACCTCCTCAGACATCTCACCCTTTAAAAAGTTCTTCAACTTCAAACCATGGGAGACCTTCAGCACCGGACGCTCCTGTAAAAGGAAAAATAAAATATTATACATAATTTTCAAACACTTCCAAAAATAAAATATTATACATCAACCAATTAAAATATATACCTCTCCATGTCATATCCTATAAGTAACATGGTCAGCAAATTCTGTGAGCACATACCTGTCTGAAAGTCCTCTTGGAAATGCTCCATCAGTGTGAACCGATGGCTCCGTGTACGCACGAGTTGTGGTGTTTGTATCATTGGGAGACACCTCGTCAACGCCCTCAGCTACAACCTGCTCAGTTGTCGGCTCCACAACCTGTTCAGCAACCGGTTCCACAACCTGCTCAGGAATCGACTCCACAACAGGAACATCATCCCCAATAGTCTGCTTGGGAACATGCACATCCTCAAGAACATGAGCATGTACCTCCTCGACAGTAGAATCTCTAAGTCCTCGACGGTGGGGTGTGCGGAACTGCGTCTACTGTCCAACCAACCGTTTCTGATGAGAATTAATCATAGCACATCGTCTAGTCCGTAACTCAGAAGCCCGTGCCTCGTTATCCCGAGCCCGAGCTTCCGCTCAATCGGCCACCCTGTCTGCAACAGAATCATCTTTGTCCCTGGTCCTCACTGAAACAATTAATAAAACAAGGGACAAAATTATGAAAATATGAACTATAGAAAATTTTGAAATTTCTGATATTTTTTAAAAAAAATTGAACTACCAAAAATTTGAAATCTCCGGTACACGCTGCAAAGCTCTTGAAATTTCAAATTTTCCGATACAAAAGGTAAATACAAAAACTAGAAGTTTCAAATTTTCCGGTTAGAATATACCAGAAATTCCGAAATTTCAGGTAGAAAATACCGTAAATTTCTCAAATATACCATAAATCCTTACCGTTTCACAAAATTTTTGGTATCGTCTTGAAATTTCCGATATCGCCTAGTGAATTTCGAAAATACGGCGTGGTATTGGAAATTTGGAATTTTTGAATAATTTTAGGTTTAAGACAATTTGATATTTTCATACCCCTTGAGGGTGCCACGTACAACAGGGGGGGTGTCATGTTTATTTCTCTCATTCCTTATATGCGCACAATTCTAATGAACATAAATTTTCTCATCGAGGTAATAAGAATTTGAAACTAGAGGTTTATGATAGATCTAGGAGTCTTACTTCCTTGAGTTTTATGAAGATCCTTAAGATCTTATCATTAAAGGATAATTTCTTATATAACTAATGCCTAGTAGATGGTTAATTTGAAGAATTTTAGTACATTACATTAGAGTGATACTTTACTTATATAACTAGTATGGTGACCATATTTATGAAAATTGTAACATTGAATGTGATTCTTATCACGTTTTCTTCCACCATATCTTTCTATAGCTGCAACACCACCTCAATGATTGCTTTGGTTTGAGCGTATTCTCTTATTCAACGTATTTCCTTCTTGTTGGCTACCTTTTCCATTCGAATTGTTGTAACCTCGTCTACCTCTGCTTTTGTTTTAACTTCCTTTACCTTTCTTTTCTTTTGTTGATTGTGCCTACAGAGCTACATCACTTTTCTCCTTGCTTGCAGATCTTTCATCCATTCTTTGTTCATGAGATTCAAGCATTCCTCAAAGCTCTTTTTTTTTTCATGCTTGACAAACATTTCAATTCTTCTATGGCTACTACCACATGATCGAATTTTGGAGCTAATGACCTCAAGATCTTTGAAACTATCAACCTTAATGTCAACACTTCTCCGCACGTCTTGATTTCACTCACCAGTTTCATAACCCTAGTAAAGAAATAAGTCACACCTTCAGTTTCTTCCATCTGAAGCAACTCATACATTCTTTTATAAGTTTGTAATCTCACCTCTTTCACCTTCTCAACACCTCCAAGCAATTTTTCTAGGATGTCCCATGCTTCCTTTGCTGAGTGCACACACTACTACAAAAAAATACATATAATGACAGTTGTGAAATACATATAATGATGGTTGTACGTTGGTTGTTAGGTAGTGTGTGTTTGTATGTATGTTGGCTTTCACAACGGCTGTGTGGTTGTGGTTATAAGTTAAGTAACGCGATACGTATAACTACAGGTGAAGTAAACGACTATTGTGAAATAATCAATAGGTCTTTTGGATTCAAATTCCAGCAACGCCGTTCTTGAGTTTTATTATTCTAGATTGCTCTCCACTTATAACAACGGTTGAATGAAACAACTGTTGTGATATTATTTGTTCTTTTAATATACGTTTTTAAATTTTACAAAATTTCCAAAACTTGA